TGTGTACATACTGGAACTGCGTTACACGTAGGTCCCCGACTGTCACAACAAAACTGAACCTTGAAGTGGTGTCACGGTTTGCGTACCTCGTCGACCAATTGAGCTATACAGGGTGGAGCCCTTAGGCCTCATAAGAGCTACTAGAACGAGGCTGATCAATGGTTACAGGTCAGACGCTCAATCTCATGGTCCGCCAGGTTGAGGATTTGAGAGGAGATGGTGTCCATTTCTGTAAAACCGAATCGTTGCCACATCCCATGTTTTGCGGACGGGCTTTCGAACTCAACGCTTTGGTTGATGACCCGAATCGTTCTCCTGTCTAGGTCTGAGCGCCCTGGCAGTATCTCGGCCCATGTAAAACCATGACTTCAAATTCCAACCATATCCTGTATCGGCCGTCGCGTAGCTTATCAAGGGTCGCCTTATCTGCTGCATACACCAGGGCAGATAAGCGAACACACGCAATAACTGGCGCTACCCTTCTCTCCTTTCCAAATGTTTCGCTTAGTCCCATCCTAGTCCCCATTACTAGCTTTCCTCCTATAATTCCCAGCAACCGTAATGTCACTGGATTCGTACCATCTGCAGCTATGTTCCCGCACAATCCAATGGACACTAATCACCAACGGTTTCTTATAAGGCCACACTGTCTCGTTTCTCTCGCGGTGTTTAACGTTCACACTCTAAGACAATTAGGTCAAATGGCTACACTCGCACGCAAGTTAGACACACTGGGTATTGACGTGCGTTGTGGGTCCGAAACTAAGATCAATAATGTCCACGGGGTTGTTGGATTAACTGAGTCAGGTTTGTCCTCTCGCTATTGGTTACACGCATCAGGAGACGCTGATGCGGCAATCACTGATCAAGCTGGAGTGGGTATTGTTCTCAGCTCCAAGACCGAGTCATTGTTGGTTGACTGGATTTGCGTGAGCAGCCGTTTATGTACAGTCCGTTTGACGACATCAACGAAGGTTGATTTACGGAGTAGCATTAGACGCTATTGGTTTACGGTTTCTGCTTATGCCCTCACTGATTGCAGCTTTGATGTTGCGAAGGGCGCTTGCTGTTACGAACTGAACACGCTACTGCGCAGTGTTACCAGTACATATATCATAGTTATTGCATCATCATTCATCATTATACACGTTAGCTAGAGGTGGAAAACATCTCTAGCAACTGTGCCGTCCATAGTTCTTTCAGGGAATACGAATGCGCAAGTAAGTCGTCTAAACTCTTCAGAAACTATGCTAGTTGGTAAGTATGGACTTAACTCCGAACGGACGGACAGCGGAGAGCGTTTGTTACAGCTGTGTGCGGAGTACCAGCTATTTCTTAGCAGTACCACTTTTAGACACAGTGGGCGCCGAGGTGCCACTTGGCGTCATCCTATAGCTGACCAGCAATGAACCCAAATAGATCACGCTGCCATAAGTTACAGGTGGCGTTGATCCAACATTGATTGCCGTTTTTTTGGAGCACTTGCGTCGACTCTAATCATGCCTTGGTACGCTGTCGTTTTCAAGGACGTCTGCCGTGAGGTGTGCCAAGCGCCTCTTTCGATTGGCAACCAAGAAGTTATCCCATCCCTCGGTCAGGCAAACCTACCAGGATGTACTACGTACCGAACTTGAGCTCTCTTGTCTTAATGACCCTGAGCTTTAATGGAATTGCATATCCGCCGCCGTGCAATATGCAGGTTCACCTGCTTGTGGCACTATAAATCGTCACCGCACCAGTCACTGGATATCCGAGAGGTCGGTGAACCTGTTGGAATCCAGAAGGAAACTCCCGACTGGCTCTGAGCACAATGCGGCCAGACAGGTTATTAGGCGCGAACTAAAGCGGAGGCTGCGTGCTGACAAGGAAGCCTGGTGGAACAATCGGGCTCAAGAAAAGTAAGAAGCAAGGGCAGTAGGAAATTATCGCAAGCTCTTCCAGCTGATGCGCACCACTGGTCCCGGGAAATCAGGCGTCAGTGAAACAATCAGAGACAGAGCGGGTGCCATGATTCACAATAAGGAGCGCCGTATGGCTCGTTAGGAGGAGTTTAGTTATCCCCCTGCTTCAGGTGCTACAGACTGAGTCAAAGCCAGCTAGTTTAGAGATTCCGTCGGAGGCTGAGGTCCGAAACGCGATCGCAGCCTTTAATCGTTTTCGTGCTGCAGGCCCGGATTCGATCATACCCGCACTATTTAAAAATGGTTGTGAGGTCCTCTGCAAAGCACATACCTCCCTGTTCGAACAAATCTGGTAGGCAGAGACCATCCCAGCTAACTGGAGTAAATCAACTATAGTGGCGATATACAAGAAGGCCAATCGCACTGACTATGCTTATCACAGGGGTAGTTAGCCTAACGCCGGTGGTGACAAAATTAAAGGCACCAAACCTCGTCCGTCGTCTCACTGCGGAGCGAGGATCACGGGGTAGGGAAGACTTGCAGGCTTCCGCCCAGAACGTGACTAGATAGATTAGATATTCACTATGCGGAATGTGAAAGAGCACCGCCACACGTACCGAAGACAGACGACAGCTGTGTTCCACGACTTCAAAAGTGCGTTCGACTCAGTCGACCGAGGCATGCTATTCGAAATACTTACGCGGAAAGGTGTTCTCATGAAATATGTAAACATTTTAGGTGCTCTGTACTCGAACACTACAGGCCGCATTAGGGTCTACGGTGTCCTATCGGATAGCTTCCCGACCACAAGTGGCGTTCCTCGATTTCCCCATTTTTTCCAACCTTGTCGTGCACTCCATCATGGAATGTTCTCTTGCGGAGCCCCCGATGCAGGCGTTGAGGTGCTGCCTAGTGAAAACTAATTGATCTTGATTATGCAGACGATATTGCCTGCTTTTTAACGATGTTGAAGCAACACAATCAACCCTGAAAAACCCCTCTATAGTGGTCCCATCATTTGGCATGCACTTTACACCTTCAAAGTGCTGGTACAGGATCACCAGCCACTTGGCAATTCCTTGAGCCTAGATGGTGGGGAAGTCGAAGTAGTTGATCACTTAAATTACCTTGGTACCTGTTTAAGCAATAATGGGAGCATAACAGCTTAAGTCAGTTCACTCATTTCAAAAGCTAGAAGTGTCTTCTTGAACCTGCAATATCTTTGGCGTCAGAAATGGGTATCCCTCCGTCCAAAAGGTCGTGTGTACAAGGCCACAGTGAGAGTCGTCCTACTATATGGCCCCTCATATCTGAGCCTCCTTTAGGTCTTTTATCATCCTTGTCTGCGAGGCATTGCTGGTGTCGGGTGGCACCAGTGTGTCCACAACGATGGTGTGCGTAGACGAGTATTAGGCAGTGATAACCAAGCTAGTTCCCTAGAACAACAGATAGCACTGAATAAGTTGCGTTGGCTTGGGCACGTACTATGTATGCCTGGTCAGCGCTTACCTAGGAGGCCCTTGTTTTACCTGCTGCATGTGGGGCGGCGCAAGGCTCGCGGTGGACACAATTTGACTTGGCAGCTGGAAATGAAGTCACTGACGACCCAACTCGGTGTAGTCGGTGCGTCTCACCTTTCAGGCTGCAGTCCACATGACGCGCTTTGTGCTTGAGATGTTACAAGACATATCTTGCAGTCGACACCAGTGGAGTGTCTGCTATCGTCTCCTAGTCAGATTGTCTGATTAATGGGTGTTTGGCGTAGAGTCACCTGCGGGGTACTGGCTGATTATGACAGGGGGGCAGTGAAATCCGCAAGGAAGCTGTCTTGTCGATGCCGCTTTATCTTTGCAAGATAGCCAGCTATTCGTGACGGTATGTTGTTGACAAGGTGCAGACGACGCCTTGACCAAATTTAAGTCATTAAGGTTTTACCGCATGCCATCCGTCTCTCCTTGTTATTATTATTCTTCGTTCCGTAAGTCAAGGTGGTTGTAGGACAGTGGAACATCAGTTCAAGTGGCCGATGTACTGCTGAAATGAAAACTGAAATTGTGAAGCACTCGATGAAATCATGTGCATCGCTTCAGCCAAGGCCGCATACGTAGCAAAATGCACGTTATGACAACCAATTTGAGGAGACGACACAGGAAAAATGGTCAAGCAACACACTCCAAAGAACTCCTCTTACATGTAACCAACAATTCAATGCAAAAGAAGCGCGCTTAGCAATCATGTGAACGAAACAGTTTAAGTGCAGTTATGAACGATGCTAACTGTAACAGACACATGAGAAAAGACAATTGGACTAACGACGTTGGGAAACAAAAGGTTGGTGGACTTTTGTTTCCAATCCCCTTGAAACCATGTTTTCTACGGGTCTCAGTGTACTCGAAGGGTTTAAAGACCAATGGAACGTGACTGGTCAAGAAGCACAGGACAAAAGCCTATCAGGATAGTATGGAATTCAGACGAAGAGATTAAACCTGTTGTATATGACCTTCGTCCATGTGGTGCACTGAGCATTGCGTCGCATAAGCAATGCATTAGGATTGACGCTAAGCCCAGAAGCTACAATGTCGCAATGTATGGGTGGACAACAATTTTCATAGCTGCAAGTTATGTTGCCTGGAAACCTACTCCTCAAGATGCGCAAAGAACCGAAGCGACTCTGCTCTTGGTGGAGAGTAGATGGACGAATCTAAAACCTGACTACTTGTACAGTTGCATTAGAGTAAGTGGTATTGGAAATGAGGTTGGAAACACCAAAATGCAGAACTACACTCAACCTTTCGCACATACAAAGGACACATACTTTGTGCTGTGGCCGAGGTGATTTCGCGTCGCGCCAACAAGAGCAATGAATGGATAAATGCAGATGCACGCTGACTGACATGGCAAGATCACGTGGCAAGATGTTCTACCCCTAAATCCATAGATAATCGCCCACATTCAGTCGTGCTGAAAAGTACAACTTTTGCAAAAAATCCTACTCTTTTCCAAGAACCAGCTAGTGATAAAGTGATGGAAACTATTTTAGGTGGACACAAGACTCTAAGGTAGAATGGAAAACCCATGGTGGCATATGATAGAACCATTTCATAGTAGGAAACTCACTCGACATAACAATATCTCCTCCACAGGAGCCATACCCATGTCACGATCACGCTGTGAGACGTAGAAAAGGAGGACGAAGGGTTTCAGAACAGCAAAGTTTGGCTTCCAGAGTAACTTCTTGCGACCGCGACCTTTGCCATCCAAGTCCACCACCTGCTCCAGGCATCTTGAAAACACTTCATCACGAAGCGCAGCGGTGGGTGTTCTAGAGGACGGAGGGGATATTCGCTCGGACACACTGGGCACAATCATTGTGGCTATGGAATCACCAGATGCAGGCGACCCAGGTATCCGATCCAGTTTCACCGGAGTTGAGTGCATTTGCGACGCTTGATCCAACCGAGCGTACAGTTGGTTAACGAGAGCATTCAGTTGCAACATTTCCTGATCTTTGACCCGCGCTTCCTCAGTGAGAGTAGCGATAAGAACATTGCGTTCATCCAACTCTACTTTATATCTATCTATGGTGTTCTGCATATTGGCCTTTTCCTTCTCAGAGGCGGACTGGAGGTTTTTGTAATTTTTAGCCAGTTGCTGGCATGCCGCATAATCGTGTTCCTTCGCCCGCTTCCGTACCGCAGCCGGGGTCATGCGGCCTTCCACCTCGTGCAACAATTTATCCACTATCGCCTTCATGTTTCGCTGTTGCAACTCACGTTCCGCTTGCAATTTCGACACCTGTTCACCTAATGAGGTGGTCTTCCCTTCTGCTTCTGCGCATCGTAGACGCATTTCATCAAGTTGCTTGGATACATCTTCTAGCTCAGACAAGCGCTGCTCAGCTAAACAACGCAATCGGGTGACCTCGGCCGAGTCTTGTTCCTTGGTGATTTTTGCCAATTCATGTGCACTCCGCAACTCCACGCGAATAGCCGCCAAACTGGAATCGGTTGACACTAAGCGATCTTCCACGGTGCGTTTTGCGGAAAGAACTATGTCTAACTCGGCTTGCACGCTGGATAACTCTTCCCGCAATGTGCGTTCAAGTGCACTAGAGGAAGCAATGCAATCCTCCAACTCTTTTGTGCGGGACTGATATAGTCGGCAGAAGTTTTGCGCCTCTAATAGCTGGTCGCTGAGTTCCTTGACTTGTTCCGCGTGGTTACGAGCGAGATTGCTTGCTTCAGTCATGAGAACTGTAGCTTTTTGGCGAGCTTCTCGATTTTCTGCTTGTAGGCTAGCCATCTGTGCCTCCAGAGCTGAAACCAACTCGTGCTGCCGAGAGTCAGAAGCATCTCCGGCCGCTTGCAGAGGTTCATCTTGTTTCAACTGTGTGCTCAATTTAATGTGCGCCTCCTGCAAGTCCAGCTGCAACTGCTCAACTTTTGTAGCAAGAGCTGTTTTAGCTTCGTCCAAAACATACGCCTTACGCCGCTCTGTTTCCAAAGCATCCGTGGCACTCTTCACTTGGGCTGTTAAACTGGCTGAATCTTCAACAAGTCGGTCGCGCTCCGTTTGCAAACTGGAACACCGAAGGCGTGTATCTACTAGGGATTTTTCCAAATCCGACAAAGCAGATTTGGATTTTTCCAATTCCAAGGTTGATTCCTGAAGACGACGCTGGGAATCTTTTAAGGTGACTTGGTCAATGGCCGCTTGCTTTTCAAGTAGCTGCACAGTGGTTCGTAATTCATCAATCTCGCTCTGTAGAGTCTGGCATCGTTGAGTCACCTCAGCCAATGCAGTTTTTCCCTGCTCTGCTGTGGCCGGTGACCCAATCGCGTTATCAGCACCTCGTGGAACATTTTTCAGATAAATGTGATCACGATTGAAGGTGTAGCCAGCAAACGATAGATTATTGCCTGTGAAGTAAGCAGGTGCAGGGGGCTTGCGGGGAGCGAATGCACCACCACTGTGGGGCAATTTCGAGGAGGCGGTACCGCCTGGAGTGTCCAAGTGCATAGGTTCATCCTCGAAATTGATGTTTGAGGTGTCAATCTCAGAGTTAACAACAGGTTGTATCGGTGGATCTTGGGACCGCAGTTGGTGCCAAATAACGCTCTTGAAGAACGGATGTAGCTTGACACCATTGGTTGCAATTTCGATAGCCTTACCAACGTCATTTGCAGCTGCATCGGAAGCGAGTGCAACCGTCAGTGAGCCAAGTCGAACACCAGCAGGTTTGAGGAGCTGTCGAATTAAATCTTCCAACTCAAATGATATGGGGTCACCATCGGATGGGATTGACAGCGACTGTTCGTGACTCAAAATCCGGCTATATGTTTCGACTAGAGACTGACCGTAGAAAGCGGGCTCGCCGAACAGCATCTCATAGGCGATAACGCCCAACGTCCACCAGTCGCATTCCGGACCGACTTTGCCGCCTTTGGACTGACAGTTCAACATTTCAGGTGAAATGTAGTCAGGAGTTCCGATAGGAGACCGACAAAAGTAGAATCCATCCTCAGATAGCTGTACACAAGAACCGAAGTCCGCCAACTTCAAATGACCTCGAGCATCCAAGAGCATATTGTCTGGCTTCAAGTCACGATGAACAAATCGCATACCGTGCAGTGCTTCCAGTGCCATAACAGTCTCGGCTAAATAAAAACGGGCCTGAACCTCGTCGAATGTGTCCAGTTTTTCCAGCCAGTAGTATAAATCCCCACCGGGCATATACTCCATGCATAGGTAAACGTTTTCACGATCCTATAGAAAACAAAAAGATAGATGAGAGTGAAAAGTGTAGAATAAACGGTAACATAGTTTGTGCGTAGCGAAACATGACCAATGCGGCTTGGAATGCGCACAAATGGAACGCCGCAAGCAGTACCCGAACATGGCTAGAGTCTACTATAGACGACTGAAAATACGATAGTAGTGAGCTATTCACATGAAGAAGAGCAACACAGCGAATGACAAAAATATCCTATACATACACAGGCAATGCACTAGTAACAGAAAATCGGAAATGGATAAAGCACAAATTTCAAAAACGGAACATATGCGAATGGGAAGAGGGCTATTTCAAATGCAGTGAGCAGCAGCTAAGTGAAATAAGCGCGGAAAAAGCAACAAGCTTGCAAAATGCTGTGACATCACCGAAGCTAAGACCCAACCTCGCTTCCCACCAGACAACTGCAAAGTCATTCGAGGTCTGTCCATTCCACTGCACCCTCGCCCACATACCACTGTGCAGACATCCAATCAGACTTACGCGGAGAGCCAAACTTACACACCAGCCACAATGCCCCACGGTTCACCGCATCAACTGCTTTCGTGAAATCAACAAACAGCGAGTACAAAGGCTGGTGTCGTTCTCTACACTTCTCCTGCCACTGACGAGCCGCAAACACCATATCTATAGTGCTACGACCCCAGCGGAATCCACACTGCTCTTCCACCACGTTTGGTTAAACAACCTGACTGACGAGGCCGTTGAGCAGGATTCGGGCAAACACCTTGCCCACACAACTCGGCAAGTTGTTGCCACGATAATTCGTGCTACATTGCTTGCTACCTTTGCTCTTGTACAGTGATAGCACAAGGGCATCCTTCAGGTCAGAAGGCACCTCCTCCTCAATCCACACGCGTTGCACCAAGTAGTGCAACGCAGTCAACAGCGCGGGTCCACCGTGTTTCAATACTTCAGGTGGGATCCCGTCACCTCCGGCACACTTGCCGTTTCGCAGCTGAGCAAGTGATCTCTGCGTCTCATCCAGTGTCGGCGTATCCGCCAGATCCGCCTTCACATCGTGCTGCTTCAGGTCCTTCAATATAGGCCAGTCGATCTCTGAACGATTGTTCAAGAGACAGTCATAGTGTTTCCACCAGACCTGCATTATGTCTGCAGTCTGGGTGCAGGTAGCGCCTGAACTACCATCGATCAGTGTCCTCAGCGGCTCCAATCTCGGTCCATACACAGCCTTCAATGAGTCAAAGAATTCCTTGTGTTGACGGCGTTCGGCGTAGCATTCCATCTGCTTCGCCTTCTCCGTCCACCATGCATTTTTAATGCGACGGAGCTCTCGGGTCAGTCTCCGTCGAAGTTTGCGAAACTGACTACTCTTCCCCAAGTCACTGGGGTCTGCCACACGTGCTGCATTCTTCTCTGACACCAATGCGCCAATCGTCACATTGTTGTCATCAAACCAATCAGGCCGTTTACAGTTTGCGCGCCCGATGGTCTCCTCGGCAGCAGCTGTCACCTGGTCGCGAATCTGGTGCCACAAGTCGCCCACTGTGGCTATGCAGTCCACATCACCACACAGGCATGCAGCCACCGCCTTCTCCAGCTCAGTACGTTTCGCCACAGGAACGAGGGAGAGAATGTTAAATTTACGCCGATTCACGGCGGGAGTGCAATACATCGATTTACGAAAATATATGTACAGTTTGGTCCGAACCATTTTGTGATCAGTGCCACACTCAGCTCCACGCAGTACACGTGTCATGCGCACTTCACGCATATCACGCTGACGTACGATGACATAGTCGAGCAGGTGAGCATGACCACTCCGTGGGTGCGTCCAAGTTGCTATATCACTCGCACTCAGTGCAAACCGAGTGTTCGTGATCGTCAGGCCGTGAGTGGCACACAGTGAGAGCAGCCTGTCACCGTTCGTATTCGCTGAACCAATGCCATGCGAACCCATAACATCTGTTCACGCTGATGCATCACGCCCAGCACGCGTGTTGAAATCACGCAGCAGAAATAGTCGGTCGCTCCTCGGCACAGACCGTATCACGGAGGATAGCTCAGTGTAGAACTGATCACGCGTGTCATCAGGATAACACATAGTCGGACCGTACGTGCTTACAGAGGTCGCAAACTTACCTCTTCGGAGTCGTAGGCGAACAGCCATCAGTCGCGCGCTGATGCCCGTTGGTTAACCCACCAGCTGGCCATGGAGGCGATCGGATATTGCAAATCCGACCCCATGTTCACGTGGTGCTGAGGCGGCGTTCCCCACCCAGTAGATTGTGTAGCCAGCACCTGCTTCATGTAACTTACCTTGCTCAGTGAGCCGAGTTTCACTGAGCGCCGCAATATCGATGTGGTAGCGCGCCAGCTCCATTGCGACCAGTGCAGTGCGTCGCTCCGGGCGCTCGCTGGAGTTCCGGTCTAGTAGTGTGTGCACGTTCCAGCACCCGATGCTGAGTGCTTTGCGCGCAGGCATACGATTGCATTGGTGGGCAATCGCACGCGAGGTGGTCGTTGTGCTTCGGCCCGTTATCGTGCCGTAAAAAGAGTTATATAATGCCTAACGAGTGAGATCGTGATTCGGGGGCTGTGTTATAAACTCCGCCGCGTCAGTGCCACAGGTGGCGGAGATTGGCAAAAGCACCTCGGAGCTTTTGATATACGGTGCGCAACCTCATGTTCGATCCGAGGAGCCCTAATATAGTTGCCAAGGTTCTTGGATTCCTGAACGACTTCTAGCGGATCACTACAAAATGTTAACCCACGAGTGGGCCCCTGCCAAGCTTGGAGAAGTACTTAGCATTTCGATGGAGCAAACCATAGCTCAAAACCATTGATAGTCAGTGCTGCATGGCACGTTTGGGAGCTGTCACAGATTAGGGCAATATCGTCCGCTTACTCCAAGTCAAGAAGTCGCTCACCAGGAAGTAGCTCCACACTTTCTAGGTCGTGTCCAGCGAACGCTGTTTCCATGACTACATCAATAGGGAAGTGAAAGAGGAAAGGTGATAGCAGGCAACCTTGTCTCACACCGCTGGTGATACTGAAGGGTGGCGAGAGTTTGCCATAAACCCTCACCCTGCCCGAACTATGTGCGTACAGCGCTTTGATAATGTTTACATATTTATCAGGCACACTTTTCCTCAGCAGACGGTCCCAAAGGGCATATCGATCGAATGAGTCGAAGGTACCTTTTATGTCAAGAAACAGGACAACAGTCGGTCGCCACTAAACATGATGGTGCTCCAACACTTGACGCAAGGTGAAGATGTGGTCGATGCAGCCCCGACTTCGACGAAATCCGGCTTGCTCTTCAAGAATCTGGCTTTCACCAGTGCCAGTCAGTCTGTGGAGAATGACAGTGGCAAGTAATTTAGAGGCAATCGAAATCAGACTAATCCCTCTGTGATTGTCGCATTCCGAACGAGAGCCTCCCTTGAAAATTGGGACAATGACGGAGCGGTTCCAGTCGGTCGGGACAATTTCCTGCTCCTGAAGTTTCACTACGAACTCGTATAAATTATCTATTAGAGCAGCTCCCCCGAATTTGAAGAGGTCTGGGGGAATTCTATCTGCCACTGTGGCCTTATGCAATTTCAACAGCCTGATCTCACGTTCGACTGCTGCGCGTGAGGGCGGATCCAAGGAGACGGCCCAAGGAGAAGAACGCTCAATACTCAAAAAGGAAACCGATAACAGGTTTGTTAAATTGAATTGCAAAGTGTTTGGCCCAACGCTCCAAGCGTTTTGACAGCCTGTGGATCAGCTGCCCACTCTCGTAGCGTATGGTCTCGTTAACACCAGGTCTTCTGCTGCCTGTTTCCTGTATCAGACGGAATAACTTTGGATGATTGCTAACGACATTGACTGTTTTCATTTCCAATGCACGATGAGACCACCAGGCTTCGCGGTCTCTCCTCAGGCTATCAAGGAATTTTGCTCTAAGCTTCTTCGAATCTCATTGTGTTCGCTTCCATCCGGAATACGTCGGCGAGCATCTATAAGTTCCAGAGGCTGTGTCTGGATTGGCAGTTTGATTTGCCTACTGATGTTAAGAATTGGTGAATATGCGACCAGTGATGTACGACGGTTTAGTGGGCGCTTACTCAGGCCAGATGTCAGCGCACTATGATACACATTCAGAACACCTGGCTTCGCCAGCATGCTGGTGTCAGTCGGTTCACACTGACGTTGCGGACGTTCACCGAAACGCACTAGGAGGTCGGCGCCGACATGTGCGTGGTCAGAGTCCACGCTCTTGCTCCAAATCGAGCGACAGTTTTGGACATAGCCTCTCCAGTGGTAACTGATCGCGATATGATCGATTTGCGTCCATGGCTGGCCCGAGGCTGGTGGCCGCCAAGTCACGTTTCTGCGGGTGCTGTGTCGAAAGTAGGTGCTCGCGAGAAAGAGGCGAGTAACTTCACACAGCTGTAGCAATGGCGTACCATTATCACTACGGGAGCCTACACCATGTTGGCCGCCCAAATGAAGCTCATCAGAGGACAATTTTCCGATTTGGGCGTTTAGATCGCCAGCCAACATCACAGTATCCATGCTTTTTCTGTAACAAAGGAGCTCGTGAAGTTGCTGATAGAAATCATCTTTTACAGAATCAGTGAGACAGTTTGTAGAGACGTAGGCCGCAATGACAAACAAGCACCGTTTGTCCCCGCTAGACTTCGTAGCACGGAACGAACCAGCTAATCTAACGGCGCACATCCTACCGTTTCCTGGGATCCAATCGATCAGAGCAGCTTAAGCCCGGGAACTCAAAACAATGCTGATTCCACCTTGACCGGCATTTGAAGCTGCATCATCGCCAGACAGGCGCAATGAGAATGTGCCGCCAGTGTCGCATGTGGCGGAGGGTAGGGTAACCACGGAGCTCGAATCTTGCAGGCGGGTTTCCGACAAGCAGCAAATATCGATCGACAGGGTCTCTAGGGTGCAGGCAAGTGTTGCCTGTTGGCCAATCTGTAGAAAATTGCGCACGTCGAGGCAT